TGTAGATGCCACCCATTGTCCAGCATAGACTGCTACATCACCATTTATGTAATTCAAATGTACTTACTGTCACGGGCCTGCAGCGGTCCCACAAGGACCACCGTCCACACAGAGGCAAGCCGATGATGACCCTGAGAGAAGCTGGAAGGCTCCTTTTAAGCACAGCTCAAGGGGCGGTCCTAAGGCGATAATTTAGATATGAATGGCTTGAACAAGTGGCAATCATATTAGCATGTTCTAATTGGCCAGGGCGAGTCAGGGGCTGGTTAAGGCTACAGCTTTTTTATTTGGGGGCAGGCCTGGCCGAGCCCCAGGCTTTGTCCTTATTTGGATATCACCTTGAGCTTATTGTGGAAGCTGGCTGGCCTGTTGTGCACTGATTGGGGGAGGGGGCAGGAAGAGCTGGCTCAGGCCTGACCTGCAGTACCAGGCCTCCTCCTCCTTGCTGTCAGGGGTGTCAGATTGACTGCCCTTTGTTTGTGGCTGACTCAGAAACTGCTTGCTCAGTTCCAAAAAGCACGAACTGAGGCCCAGTTCTTAACTGAGTTCTTAGGGCAGGCTGTCGCGATGTTTGCTGGCCCTCTCAGTTACCAAAATAGATGGGCAATACCTAGGCGTGTGTCTGTGCGAAAATCATCCCAGAAAAGCAACGCTGAGACCTTTTCTTTTCTTTTTCTTTCTTTCTTCTTTTTTTTTTTTTTTTTGGTTTTTTTTGAGACAGGGTTTCTCTGTGGCTTTGGGGCCTGTCCTGGAACTAGCTCTTGTAGACCAGGCTGGTCTCAAACTCACAGAGATCCGCCTGCTTCTGCCTCCCGAGTGCTGGGATTAAAGGCATGCGCCACCGTCGCCCGGCCCCGCTGAGACCTTTTCAAACATACCAGACTGATGCAGGACGTAGTGCTCTCACCTGAATCACATGAAAGGGACACCTTAACACTGTGACGGTGGTGGCCCCCGGACCTGTCATCTGATCATCGGGCTGGGCATTACAAGAACTTCCGGCAGTTCCCGTGGCTTTGCTCAGCATGGCCCCACTGTTTTACACGGTTCAATCAAAGAACCCACTGAGATTTCCATCAGTCTACTACATTTGGTCCTGTGCTTCCTCAGCGGTCCTGCACCTCCCTCGATGGTGCTAAACCTCAGGGCCTAGGTGGCTGCTGCTTTGGCTTTCCCCAGCTCTCAGCTGGCTGGACTGATGTCTGACCACCCCTCTGTATCGGCAGTAGCTCTCTGCTTCAACAAGTCCTCTCAACTCTGTGGTCTCTTCACTTTCCTGTTGTCATTCTGCAACACACACACACACACACACACACACACATGCATGCACACGCACGCACGCACGCGCGCACTACTGTGTGGAGTGTAATGTGTGATCTGAGAATTAATGTTAGTAATTTAGGGGCTGGAGAGATGGCTCAGAGGTTAAAAGCACTGGCTGTTCTTCCAGAGGTCTCCAGTTCAATTCCCAGCAACCACATGGTGGCTCATAGCCATCTGTAATAAGATCTGGTGCCCTCTTCTGGCATGCAGGCGTACACAATAAATAAATAAATCTTTAAAAAAAATACCATGTCTCAAAAACAAACAAAACAAATATTAGTCAATGAGAGCCAGGGAGATGGCTCAGTGGGTAAAGGTTCTTGCTACTAACCCGGATGACTTGAGCCTAATCCCAGGAACCCACATGGAGCAAGGAGAGAGCTGACTCTCAAAAACTGTCCTTACCTTTACACACGAACCAAGGCTGGCTCACACGTGTGCACACAAACACACACAACTAAGAGAAACGGAGGAGAAATGGAGAAGAAGGGGAGAATAGAAGGGCTGGGAGGTTGGGGGAACTGGGAACAGAGGAGGGAAGGGAAACTTTGGTTGGGATGTAAAAACAAAAATAGAATCATTAAAAAATTATTAGGATAAAAGAGCTGCAATTACCAATGGCCATGCTGACAGTTACAGCCAATGAAACTGATATATTTCACTAAGTATCATTCAATAAATTATGACTATGTTTCCGACAGCACATTCATAATGCCTAGCATGTGTAAAACCTTGGATTCAATCTTCAGCATGACAAATATTTTTTTTAATCAGAGAAAGATTTTAAACTGAATGAAAAGTCAAGTCACAAGCAGGGGAAAAATATTTGAAAAGACACATCTGTTGAATGGGTGCTACCCAAAATATGCAAAGAGTTCCTAAAACCTGGTGATGAAAATTCAGTTTTTTAAAACTGAGCCAAAGACCTTAACAGAGACATCATCCAGGAAGGTGTGCTTCTATAGTAAAGAAGCACATCGAGAGATGGCAACGCCATCAGTTAGAGAAACACAAACTAAACAAGAAGAAATTGTTGCACACTCCTGGAATGGCCAAAGCCTGGAACACAGCATCAACTGTTAGCAAACATTTGAGTCATTAGGAAGTCTCTCTCACTGCTGGTAGGAATGCAGAGTAACCCAGTTTGGAATTATTTCTGTCCTTATCACATGATTTAGAGATTGTCTTCCTTAGTATTATTAACCCAGAGGAGTCGAAACTGTCCACCCAACATCTTGCAAATGGATGCTATTTTAGTTACTTTTAGTACTGCTGTGATAAGACACCATGACCACAGATCCAGAGGGTAGTAGAGTTCATGGCATCATGGCAAGCAGTGTCGCAGCGGGCAAACAAGCATGGCACGGACAGCTTACATCTGATTCACACGCAAGAGGCAGAGTGCTAACCTGGAATAGTGGTGTGGGCTTTGGAAACCTCGAAGCCCACCTCCAGTGACACAGGTCCTCCAACATGGCCACACCTTCTAGTCCTTCCCAAACAGTTCTACTAACTGAAACCAAGTATTCAAACACAGGAGCCTATGGGGGCCCTGTTGTAAAAATAACATGGTGGGTGGTGCCATCCCTGGGCTGGTGGTCAGAAATCAGGCTGATCAAGCCATGAGGAACAAGCCAATAAGTAGCACCCTCCATGGCCTCTGCACCAGCTCCTGCCTCTAGGATCCTGTTCTGAGCTCCCATCTTGACTTCCTTCATTGATGAACAGCAATGCTGAAGTGTAAGTCAAATAAATCCTCTCTTCCCCAACTTGCTTTTTTCTTGTTGTTGTTGTTGTGTTGGTTTTCTGAGACAGGGTTTCTCTGTAGTTTTGGAGCCTGTCCTGGAACTCACTCTGTAGACCAGGCTGACCTCGAACTCATAGAGATCTGCCTGCCTCTCTCTGCCTCCCAAGTACTGGGATTAAAGGTGTTTGCCACCACCACCGGGCTCCCAACTTGCTTTGTGATCATGGCATTTTGTTGCAGTAATAGAAACCCTAAATAAGATACTAAGACTAGTAAATGACGAGTACTTTCTTTTTTTTAAAAAAAAATATTTATTTATTTATTATGCATACAATATTCTGTCTGTGTGTATGCCTGAAGGCCAGAAGAGGGCACCAGACCCCATTACAGATGGTTGTGAGCCACCATGTGGTTACTGGGAATTGAACTCAGGACCTTTGGAAGAGCAGGCAATGCCCTTAACCTCTGAGCCATCTATCTCTCCAGCCCAACGAGTACTTTCTTATGTTAAAACAGTGTTCACGCAGCCAATCAGGCAAAGAGTGTGCAGCTTGGTGGCAGCGTTGCAGACAGAGGAGCGACTGTGCCTACACTGGCGCAGGCCTAGAAAACAGGAGTACCGTCTCACCGCATAGCCCCGGCTCTCTGTCCTTTCTTCTTCTCACTGGGCAGTTCTGGCCAGCCTGGACCACTACATAGACCCGTATGGCCTTGAATTCACAGAGAGAGATCTGTCTGCCTCCTGAGAGCTGGTATTAAAGGAGTGTGCTATTATACCCAGAACGTTATATCTTCTTAAATGAGTAAGAAAAATTAGGTGGGTTTGAATCAAACCCATAACAAATTAACATTTGTTTCTGGTTTTGCGTATAGAATCCAACGACCTTGGACTGCATGTAAAACCCTTTCTTCTTTAAACCTGCATTCACAGACCAATTCTTATTTCCTTATCTTGTTCCTTTTGCTTCAGATTCTGGCCCCAAACTTCAAGGATCCAAAGGAACTTCGTTTGAATTCATTCCTACAGCCAGTTTTGGGTTTGCATATTCCTGGAGAACTCTGATAACTTACTGGGGTATCTAGTGCCGCCTCCGAAGTTGATGTCTCACAGTGTGAACTTCTGGAAATGTCACGCTGCACATCTGCAATACTGGAACAAGATAGGCTTTTTCATCCAATAAGTCACAGAAACAGAGAACTAGGGAGAGCACCGTTTGACAACAGAACGGAGTGATGTTGCTCCAAGACACAGTACACACACGATTCTAGTAACCACCGGAAACTAAGAAAAGGCAAAGAATTCTATCCAAAACGACAGAAGAAGCCTGGCTCTACCCAGGCGCAAATATCCCATAGTCTGTTATTTAAGCCTCTCAGCATTTGAGGCCTTCTTGGGGTCGCCCCACAGGAAACTAAGCCAAAAATGATTTTATTTGTCATCTAAAGAATCAAAATTACCACGACCCTGAACAAGGAAGGCCAGGATGCTCTCTGTCCTTTCCTCGGTGAAGATGCAGGGACTTGCAACCCCGGGAAGCAAAGAAGGCTACCCAGAAGATGCCCTACTGAGGTGCAGTGCAGGCAGCGCTGGATAAGCAGGATGGCGAGACTGAACACGAAGAAGCTTAACAGCCTGGGCTGGGTGGCGTAAGGCCGCAAGGAGAGTCGCCGGGACAGGGCGTGAGGTTGCAGCCCCGAGATTGCAACTGCAACTGCCAGGGGAGCGGAGAATAACACCTTGAAGCCATGAAGCACCTGTCCAACACCCAGCCTGAAATCAAAAGTCTGTCCGAGAGTTTCGGGGCACTGTGGCCAAGCAGCAAGCCTGTGATTGGTGGCGCTGCTGCGTGAGGCGGGACTTCCTTCCCACGTCCCGAGACAGGAAGTGGGTCGATTTTCCGCCGGAAGGAGAGAGAAGTTGCGACCTGGAGCCAGACACCTGATGCTGGTAGGTTCTGTCGCGTGAAGTTGGGCTAGTATCTGTTGTGGTAGTCGTCCGTGGTGTCCCAGTAGGTTGGCTGGTGTCAGAGGAATGGGAGTAGAAGAGCTGGGTAAGCAGCCCGGGCGTCGGTCCTACTTCTCTCTGCTTTGTTTTCTCCATCTCTTTAAAGAGTGTTTGGTAGCCCGCGGAGCTGCGGTGGTGGGTAGATGTGCAAGAAATACGCGCTCACACAGACTAGAAGTTTAGTTAAGCACACACACATGCGATGCGCACGTACGCACATACAAGCACACATGCATACACACGTACGCATTCACAGAGCTGATGAATATCGGCTCTACAAACTCCGAATCGATGACTCTTGTTGGAGGAATCACCTGTAGCAGGAATTTGAAGCGCATGCGCGCGCACACACGGACTTGGTGATTTTTAAGCTTCTTGAATGTCAGCAAAGTCATTTGATGTTAGAAGTGGAACGAAGACATCTTGATAATACATCATCTTTCATCTTCTACTGAAAAACAGCAAGGAGACCGGTGGGAAGTCGCACGGTGTGAAGGATGGAGTCAGGACTAACATCTCATTCCATTTCCAGCTCACAATTCTTGTAATCTATATAAACTGCTCTTCAGTTGCTTTCAGATGGTGTGGGTGTATGGGCAGGAGCTTGGAGATGTGAAGGAATGAAGAGGGTGGCGAGGTGCATCTAGATACCAGGTTAATGGCTCTGTAGTTAAGAACATTTGTGGCTCTTGGCAGAGGATCAGGATTTGATTCCCAGCACCCACATCGTGTTGCTCACAATGAATGACTTTATTTATGTAGATAAATGGTTACCGTTGAATTGCGACACGGGCAGAAGTATCACTTGAAAATGTCATAATATGCACAGTATTGCATGTCTAGACGCTGTATAATTCTAGACACAAGAATGCAAATGGGCTTACATTTTGTATTTTCTTTAAAAATCCTGTTGCCTATCACTCCTGCTAGGAATTTTAAGGACAAGGCTCAGACCTATTTCTAGAGACTTAACAGTTCGCTGGGTTGGAACATGACCAAAAACAGGCAGTTCTTATTTCTGCTCATTCTGTTGGCCAATTAGCTGTGTCTTACCTTCTACCAGTAGCCAGCTGTCTGTTACTGTTCCACTGACACATCCCTTCTCTCTTTAAATGCTCATGAGTTTTTAATTGATAAGTAAATGTACAAATGCACCTATTACTGACTGCAGTTGTTATGTGAGTAGGGAAGTTGCTTATATTGGGCTGGGGGTGTAACTCTGGTAAGGTGGGTACCTTGTATGGACAAGACCCTGGGCTTGATTCCCGCCATCAAAGGTGGGGAGGAGGGGAGAACAAGGACTTTGTTCTCTGTAGTAAACTAGGAGATAGCCATACTGTTGTGTGGTGCTCAAAATGTATGGCAGGTAGTTAAACTTGGTGGGGGTCAGGGGCAACTTGGACACAGTGGTCTCCAGGGATTATGGACCAGATTCATGATTCAGAGAATTTTAAATAGCAGATCATAGATCTCTGGGCTATTTTAGAAATAGTCAAAACTATACCAAGTATTGAATGTGAGTGTCTTGTAGTAACGGGGGGTGGGGTCATTATATACCACATCCACCACCACGCTTGGCTCTTCTACACTCAGGCTACACAAATTAGAAGTCACCACAGTTACTAATGGGACTGTGTATTTGGACAGAAGAGAACTATTGGCCCACGTTTTTTTTTTTTTTGGTTTTTCGAGACAGGGTTTTTCTGTGGCTTTGGAGCCTGTCCTGGAACTAGCTCTGTAGACCAGGCTGGTCTCGAACTCACAGAGATCCGCCTGCCTCTGCCTCCCGAGTGCTGGGATTAAAGGCGTGCGCCACCACCGCCCGGCTTGGCCCACGTTTTTAACCTCATTCTACAGCCCCCCTGGAACATACACTTGACAGCTGCTTTGATTTCTGGTGAGAAAGCTTTTCCGTCGATTTGTGTCATTAATGTCTTGTTTCTCTCTTCAGGTATATGAGTTCCCTGAATGCAGAGAGCAGTTGTTCCCATGCTCTGAGCATTCAGAGATTACGCAGCCACAACCATGCCTTTGATACGCATAATTCAAGGGGAGCAGACACAAGCCAGTGGTTGCAGTATCATCGCTCGAGTGTTCTGTAAACGGTGAGTGTGTGTCCCGTACCTGGAGAGAGGTGGGAATTAGGCTGTGCGTCCCAGAGGTGATTCTGAGCCATGCAGGCATTAGGAGAACAGAGAGGAGGAGGACCACTCTAGGTATCCAGGAATCAGTCGATGGTTTATAAAGTATAAATGGTAAAAGGACAGTATTGAGTATCTTTCGACTTTTGCAAAATGCTGTCTATCCTTTGGGTATTGCTTCTTGTTTCTTCCTTCTCACTCGCTACTTTTCTCCCCTTCAGATTAATGTTTGGGATGTGGAAGGAAGTAGAGTAGGTGGCAAAATGAGGGGCAGGCTTATGGGAGAGCAGTGTGTACATCTACTCTGTCCGTTTCTAAACAGCATGTTCCTGTTAAATAGGAAAGCTGGGAAACTCGAGTTTTGTTGGCTGGGAGCTTTCCCGGGGGTGTGTTACATCACTGTCTCCAGACCAGTCTGTTTACATCTCTTAAGATTCCCTTCGGGGGGAAAAGATCCAAATGTAGGCTCAGGGATGGTGAGGGGGCATACTCGGGTTCTAGTTCATACTGTGGAAGTATTTTGGCTTAGTCACTGCATGTTGTTTGAATCAGCTATAACCTGTTTAATTCTAAAAACTCAAATAAATGGAGGTTTAAATATACCAAGTTTGACTAAGTGAAAACATCAGAGAAACCAGATTCTGTCAGAGTCGAGAATAGGAAGAACAGTAGTCCAGCTGTGAGCTGAGCCTCGTTTGTTTCCAGGATTGGTGGCGGCAGCACACAGTGATGTGATGGGCCACAGTGAACTTGACAAGAACTGCGCAGCAACAGCTCTGTTGAGTGGCTGTGGTACCGGTCATAGGTACCTCCTTGTTGATGACAGATGCTAACTGGCAAACTGTCACCTTCGTTCAGCTCTGTTACATTGGCACTAAAGGAAGCTTGTCTGCAATGTTCAGGTCTTCAAGCCTAAAGTTATGAATTATCTTTTCTTTAGTATCTAGGCATTTGCCGGGCGGTGGTGGCGCACGCCTTTAATCTCACCACTCAGGAAGCAAAGGCAAGTGGATCTCTGTGAGTTCGAGACCAGCGTGGTCTATAAAAGCTAGTTGCAGGACAGCCTCCAGAGCTACAGAAAAAAAACCCTGTCTCGAAAAACCAAAACCAACCAACCAACCAACCAAACCCAGAATGCATAAAAAATTTCTAGGCATTTTAAGAATAGTGGTTTAAGAACAGATTTGTAGTCCAGACTAGCCTTCTACTGTGGCAGTCCTGCTTGAGCCTCCTGAGTGCTGAGATTACGGGGTGAGCCACTATGCCTAGCTTTTAGTTTAATTTCTTCAGGTAGGGTCTCATGAAGCCCAGGCTTTGCTATGTAGCTGAGAATGACCTTGAACTTCTGATCCTACTGCCACTACCTTCCAAGTTCTGGGGTTACAGGCATCCCCAGCTAAAGAATAATGATGCCTTAAATGATAGATTCAATATTATTGTTCTGGAGACTAAGAAAACAGAGTCCTTGAAGTCAAGCTGACCCTGCCTTTAGCCTCCTAAATGAAAAGGTAGATAGAACAGGTCTTGTTTGCAAAATAAATTCAAGACCTACTTATCTACCAACAGCCATTCCCTACTTTCTGCTTCCTTACCACAGGAAATGGTTGGCGTGAACGGATAGATGAGAGCAATGGGGAGAGCCAGAGTGGACACAGTCTCACTCCACTAGTGATAGGAAGGTGCCTGGAGCTGAGAAGACGTTTCCTATAGTGCAGGCTCTCAGAATCCAAAAACTGCGCTATCATCCGCAGAGTGCCACACCAGAGTAGACTGTGCTGTGCACAGCCTCTGGTGAGTGAGTCACGCAGGGCAGTGGCTTTACCAGATGTGAGGGTGAGAAGTTGAGAATGCCCAACTGCCAAGAAACTTGTTCTGTTTTGTACTGACAGCCAAGTACATGCTATAGAAATACTTTATTGCACGTGTTTAATTGATTGCCATCATTCGAGCCAGCAGGGAGCCTGTTACTTATTTTACTTTCTTGTGTGGAAGGGGTATGGTGAGGTTATGTGTCGTGGTCCACACATGAAGTTTACAGGACAACTTGCAGATTCTTTCTTCATCACATGGGCTCTGGGGGTTGAAGTCAGGTCATCAGATTTGGCACCAAACCTTACCCGCTGAGCCGTCTCACCAGCCTCAGGAGGCAGTCACACACGGCACTTTTTGCCATTCACAATGTCTCATGTATGTTATCCCAGCATTTGGGAAGCTGAGCCAAGAGGATTGCTACACGTGTAAGGTCAGCTTGGGCTACCTAGTGAGACACTGTCTCAAACAACCAAAACCAAACCACTACCATCAATGACAACAAACAACAACAATAATAATTCTGTAAATAAAACTATTTAATTTTACCAAAAGTCAGTAGTGTTTTATATCCCACGTTCCTAACTGCTTGTTCATTCTGCTGCTAAAGATGATACATTCGGGGGCTGGAGAGATGGCTCAGAGGTTAAGAGCACTGCCTGCTCTTCCAAAGGTCCTGAGTTCAATTCCCAGCATCCACATGGTGGCTCACAGCCATCTGTAATGAGGTCTGGTGCCCTCTTCTGACCTGCAGGCATACACACAGACAGAATATTGTATACATAATAAATAAATATATGTAAAAAAAATAGGATGCATTCGGATAGTCTGGCTACTAAATGCTTGCCAGCCCCCCCCCCCCCCCCCCCGCCACGGTCCTGTGAAGGTTTTACAGACTCATTCCCCTTGCTCAGGTAGGGTCCAGGACTTGTGTGATGGAAGTTACACAGCAAGTTGGGAAAAGCTGGGAGAAGAGCAGGTGTAGTTGGGTTTATTTTTATCTGCCCAGTTCAGGGGTTGTGGTCATAGTGGTCTGTTTTTAAAAAATACTTTTCTATACTGGGTGTGGTGGCAGGAGTTCAAGGCCAAAGAGCAAGTTCCAAGCCCCCAGGGTTACATAATGAGACCTTCTCAAAGAAACGTTCAAACACACACACACACACACACACAAAATTTAATGTTTTTCTGTTTTGTTTTTTAACAGATTTATCAGCAAGTCGAGCTGAACATGGACATGAGGTAAGCCCTACCCTTGGTCAAAATTTAGTTTCCTCAGCTTCTGCATGGGATTGTAAGGATTTGGATCACAAAATCCAGCAGATTTTCTCTTATTTTTGGATTAATCTTCTCTTGAAGAAGATGACATTCTAAGCCGGGTGGTGGTGGTGCTCGCCTTTAATCCCAGCACTCGGGAGGCAGAGGCAGGCAGATCTCTGTGAGTTTGAGGCCAGCTTGGTCTAAAGAGCTAGTTCCAGGACAGGCTCTAAAGCTACAGAGAAACCCTGTCTCGAAAAACCAAAAAAAAAAAAAAAAAAAAAAAAAGTGATGACATTCTTAAACAAAGTTTCCTTATATGTGATTCTTGAAGTTGACTGACCTCTAGTTTAAGTAAATTTTAAATGTCAAAGATCTAGGTATCTTGTTAAATTAAAAGAGTTTTAAAATCTTAACAGGTGTCCTGTTTCTGTCATTTGCCAATGTTTGTAGTCTGTGTGACACATTCCAGGGGTCCCACTAGAACTCTGAAGCCAAACTGGCCACCATGTCTGTGATCCGCATTTCCCATTTGGTGGTTTCTATTTCAGTAGAGAGTACTGTTCCCTATACACATGCGTATTTCAGTAATGTTCTAGCCAGTTCTGTGTAAGGTAAGAGGCCAGGTTGGCAGAGCAGGGGTGAGTGTGTCTATGTGTGCATGTGTGTGACAAAGACACGGACAGGGGAGACAGGGACACACACACACACAGAAGCTGTTAAACTCTCTGGGCAAGTGATAACCAGGATTCTCAGCTGCTGCTCACACTAATTCAGTCTGGAAGGAGATGAGAGTTGTTACCGTGCTAGAATTGAAGTGTGCTAGGAAACAAAGTTGTAAAGAGAAGGACAATTCCCTTCAGCTAAACCCTGGGTGGTCAGAGTAGGGCTTGCCTGTGTTGGGTGGCATCAAAGGACATGGCACTCAACACAGTCTCCATTTTACAAGAGGAGTTCTTGCTGTGCAGCTGGAGTCCCGAGCTAGACTGTGACTTATGAAAGTATTGGGAATGTGGATGGGAAGCCAGGTCCACGGTCACTAAATGGCCCTTGCGAGCTGCTGGCCAGGGCATGTTCTTCTCAACAGGACCCAGCTTTGACTTTGAACGCCGTAACTATACCATATGTCATTTGTTACTTGGCACTTAGCTTTGTCGTGACGCCTCACATCCCTATGGACAAACATGACTTTCCCTTGGTTTGAGCGGAAGCTGGTCTGTAAGGTTTCAGGCCCAGTTGATGGTTTCCAGTCTGGCTGCTTACATTTTGTGACAGTACCTAGAATGAACATCACTAATGTTCTTCCTTGTAACCCCATCCATCCCTGGCCCCTTTCTCTGCACACAGGAAAGCACCCCATTCACAAGTGTTGTGTATGTGTGTGTGTGTGAAATGCTCCCCTGAGCCGCTACCTCATGGGGTTTTCTTCCTGCCATAGGTGCTTTGCTGTAGTTGAAGGAGCGCTGCCGACTTTGCCACCACGAGCAGCATGAGGCCAAAGAGCAGTGGTTAGATGAAGGTGTTTGTTTACACATATTGGTGTGCACCTGGTGACGTGTTGGCCTCCAAGGTCGCATTATAACAAGGCACACACCGTCCTGCCTTTAGTCATCCTAGAGGTAATCTCAGCACTAGAGTGGGGTCAGACCACCACACAGAAGACAGGGCATTACAGAACTTGGACACTGGGAGGAACCTGCCATGCTGCTACCCGTTTTCATTATGAAACGCAGGGATGGATGGCTGTTTCAGTCACTGTTCTACTGCTGTCCTAACACTCTTAAAAGTTCAGTTTCCTCTGAGACTCAAGGCAGTCTCTGAACTGTGACCCTCTATAAAATCAAAATAAAAACACAGATTGCATACTTCCTCCCAACATACTGTAGCACAGAATATACATTACCATTCCAAGGGAATGAAAGGGATCAGAGTGAGGAGCTCTGGGCCAAAGCCAGACCTAGCCCAGCAGAGCCCACTAAATTCTTCATCTACACGTCTAATGTCAACGCATTCTTCAGAATGCTCATCAGCCCCCACTTTGGCAACCCTGACAGGCTGCGGAAAAGACCCAGCAAGACCTTACCTGACCTTGTCCTAATTACTGCCAGACATCCTCCTGTAGTAAGGAACCAATCAGAAGTAAGCTGGCAGGCTCTGGGCAGGCTTTACTGATAATGGTGAACGTAGGAACTGCCCCCCCTGGACGACCTCCAGGTAAGGCAATCTTTCCACAGCTGCAGCTAACCGATCAGCTCAGGACAGGTTCCCCCAGCCTAGGGTGTGCCAGTCCAGAGACTTGAAGACCCCCTAGACCTTCGCCTTGCGATGCCCCCAATAAATGCCCTGCCCCACTGTGGCTCACGGGTCCTGCCTACTCCACCAGCTGTGTTGGACGGACCTGAGCTCGTAATTAAAAGGACTCTTGCTTTTTCATCTATCTGGTCTCTTGGTTTGGGGTCCAGACTCCGGTACAGCACTGTCAGTCATGCTGGCTGAAATACACTTCTCTCTTGGGCTGGTTCCACACCCTGTTAGCAGCTCTCCTTGGCAGCTATCCCAGGGTTCTGGCATCTCCAACCTATTTTGGTTTCCAAGGTAATCAGGTATCAACCTTTATAGCTTCACACTCTGTCTGGGTCTCCCTGCAGGGACAGCCCAGACACACACCTGGCTTCAGGGCATTCCTTAGCTGTGGAGGGAGATTCCACAACCCCCTTTGTGTTCTTGACTCTGGAGCCAGAAGTGGCTAAACTGCCAAGGTCTACTGCTTGCTGGGGCTGGGCTGGCCCCCTCTTTACGAAAAGGTGACCTTCACTGTTCAGGCTTCCCTGGAAACTTAGCTAGGTGTGTTCTTGCCCTGAGGTCACCACTTTCATTTTAGCGTGGGGCTTTTCCTTAAATGTTTTGTCTCCTTGAACACAGACTTGGCTCAAACAAGCACTTCCTGGTGTTCCTTTTCTCCTCAAACTGTACTTTGCTTGCTCCCCTTCCTCTTCATTAAGAATCTGCATAAGAGCAATCACCAAGAGCCACACGACAGGGTCAACACCAGACTGTCTTGAGATCTCTGCTAAATCCTTAATCCAGAACTTGAGTTTAGCTTCAGGCAGATTTTTAGTGCAAGGGCAAAAAGGTCTTTGCCAAAACAGCACGAGAATGGTCTCTAGGCCACTTGAACTTCTTGTCATCCCCTCTTGAACTTCTTGATCTGGGCCCTCACAGTTCAAATCACTCCCAACACTGTTTTCCATGCTCCTATTAAGCCCCACATAAGGGTCCAACCATTTTTTTATTTCAGAGTCTCAAGTTCTTCCATATTCCTCCGACAAGCAGTGTGGGCAGGCCCGTCACAGCAGCACTCCAGGCCCTAGTACCAGCTTCTGTCTCAGTCACTGTTCTGCTGCTGTGACGAGACACCACGACCAAGGCAACTCTTACAAAATGTAATGGGGGCTTAACAGTTTCAGAGGCTTAGCCCATCATCATGGCAGGAAGCAGGGCAGCACTCATGGTGCTGGAGCAGTAGCTAAGAGAGAGGGACATCCTGATCCACAGGCGGAAAGACAGACCGGGCCTGGCCTGGGCTTTTGGAACCCCAAAGCTCACCCCCGGTGACACACTTCCACCAGCAAGGCCACACCTCCTAATCATGCTAATTCTTCTCAAATAGTGGCACTCTGGATGACTAAGCATTGAAATAGATGAGCCCTTCGTACACAACCTACCACTGTGGTCTAGAGGTGGGTACCTGACTTCCTTGAATTTCTGCAGAGTTTCTTGCCTTCTTGGGTCTGTTCTCAGTAAATAGTGAAACGTCACACATGTGCGGGGCTGCTGAAGCCTTAACCCTTATAAATTATAATTTATAAATGACTTCCTGATGCTATCCTTATGTCTATAGGCTTAGGAGACTACATATCCACAAACAGACAAGTGCTTTTCAAGCCCACAAGAGCCCTTTGAGTTCAGAGTCTGGCCCCTTCTCTGACAGCCTGGTCTGATAATGGCTTCCCCGGGCATCACACAGGGAGCAGCACCAGGATGAGTCCATTATCAGGTGAAATGGGTCCAGCACCCCATCCACCCATCTACCCCATGACACTAGCGTGAACTGTGGCTTGTGCTGGCTGCAGGAAACTTGAATACCAAGTCCAGCCAGCGAAGTGAGGGTGGCTGAGGGAGAGGACAGAAAGACTTGAAACAACATCAGAAGGACCTAGAAAAAAGTGACATGCTTTGGCATTAAGATGCCATTGTGAATCTTTAGGCTTCCGGACTTTTCCAAAGAAAAACAGGGGTGCACGAATTGGGGGAGCTGACAGTTGAATGTGTACAGATGCTGAGCAATGTCCACGTTGAAAAACGACAGCTTGGAGTTTTCATAGTCTAGCAGGACGCCGATCTTCTTTGGGGCAACTGTGATTCTTATATCTGGAGTCGTCCTGTCGTGCAGAAATTCGTACCGGTGCCTGAAAATTCAATGTTGATACAACAAAGCTTTGGGAACCACAGGAAGCTGCTTGCAGAGTGTTTCGTACTGACCTGATTTATACCCCTACATTTTGTCCCTTGTAATCCCTGACTACCAAGTAACATGACATTTCCAAACTACTTTTGCTAACATTTGTCATAAAACAGTTTGGGACTTTCTTCTTGAGCGAATTCTGCACCTAAACAGCTCTTATACAGAACCATGGACTCCCACTGCATCAGAATTGTGCAGAAAGGAAATTTGAAGCCAGTGTTACTCGTTTGGAGTAAAGACATTTGAAATGGGAATCCTGTGGGCCTTCATGAGAAACCTGTATAACCTGAACCAGGACTCCATGACATCCAGTTCTTAAACTTGCACCCAAGCCAGAGGCTGTGGTCACCTGGCTGCCACAGGTGAGTTGTGAGCACTGCCGTACACTTTTTATGTAACCTGTGTACTTTGGAAAGTGGCCAAAATCAAGCCGAGTCACAGGACATGGACATCTGAAGAACCGTGTTTTCCGCAATGTTGATTCAGACTCCTAGATCGACACTGAAGTGTCAGTGAGCTAGCTAGGCTCCATCTCCTTCACCTTCTTCCGCCTTTAAACTAAGCAGCTACCAGACAGCAAACGAGTCCTTTCTCTACCAATGGACTCAAGAGCTTGAACCAAAAATGAGTCATGGAGGACTTGTCCCAATAATCCGCTACTGGCCCCTTCTTCCTGCCCCCCCCCCCCCCCGCCAACTCCAATGCCTCCTTTATCTCTTTGATTCTGACCCTTGTTCTTTCTAAAGAAGCATTTGACCTTTGTTCTTGGTTCAGATTAAATGTATGCAGAG